TTTGAGACGGAGTTTCGCTCTTGTTACCCAGGCTGGAGTGCAATGGCACAATCTCGGCTCACCGCAACCTCTGCCTCCTGGGTTCAGGCAATTCTCCTGCCTCAGCCTCCTGAGTAGCTGGGATTACAGGCACGTGCCACCATGCCCAGCTGATTTTTTGTATTTTTAGTAGAGACGGGGTTTCACTGTGTTGACCAGGATGGTCTCGATCTCTTGACCTCGTGATCCACCCGCCTCGGCCTCCCAAAGTGCTGGGATTACAGGCGTGAGCCACCGCGCCCGTCAGAGGTAACTTTCATTACCATCTTGGTTTTGGTGGGTTTTAGCCAGCTTCTTTACTGCAAGCTGTTTTAACATCAAGGTCTTTATGACCCGTATCTTGTGCTGATGGCCTATCTCATCCTTTGACTAAGAATGTCCAACCTTCTTGGAAGGCAACTTGTTTTACTATCAAGGTCTTTAGGACTTGTATCTTGTGCTGACCTCCTATCTCATCCTGTGACTAAAAATGCGTAACCTTCTCAGAAGGCAGCCCAGTATTCTCAGCCTCATTCTACCCAGCCTCTATTCAAGATAGAGTCACTCTGGTTCAAATGCTTCTGATAAAGGTGTGTGCCACCATGATGATTTTTTTACCCGGATGTTTGTTTTTTTTTTTTTGAGACCGCATCTCAGTTTGTTGCCTGGGTCTCCCAAAGTGCTAGGATTATAGGTGTGAGCCACTATGCCCAGCTGACAGTGACTGTTCATGGTGTGAATGCACATTGCAGCAAAGGGACCAGTATAATCACCCAACAGCTTCTTCTTGCACGCTGTCCAGAAAAGGCAGTGCATTGAGAACTGCCGATCTTGAAGCAAAGAAAGAGTTTAATGATCACAGGGCTCACGAAGCAGAAAGATGGGAGAGAATTCTTGAATCTACCTCCCTCAGAATATGAAGGCTATAGGGTTTTTCAAGGATAGTTTGACAAGTGCTGGGGATGGGAATGTGGGATGCTGACTGGTTGAGTTGAGGATAAAATTGTAGGGGGTCAAAGCTGTCTTCTTTCCCTGAGTCAGATCCTGGATGGGATCACAAAACCAGTTGACCCAGTTTCTTGGTATGGACTACTGATCTAGGTGCTGCTGGCTGGTCCATCAGAATTTAGGGTCTGAAAAATACCTGAAACACCAAGCTTAGGTTTTAGAATGGTGGTGCTGTCTATAGGATCAACTGGGGAGGTTACAAATCTTGTGGCCTCTGGTGACATGTTTCCTGAGCCATTGTTCTAACCTTGTGGCCAATTTGTTAGTTTTATAAAGGTGATTTCAGTCCCTGAGCAAGGAGGGAGTTTGAGAAGGGGCTCTTATCATGATTGCTTTGAAGTTAAAGTATAGATGGGGTGTAGTGGCACATGGCACTTTCAGAGGCCGAGGTGGGCAGATCAGTTGAGGTAAGGAGTTCCAGACCAGCCTGGCCAACCTGGTGAAACCCCGTCTCTACTAAAAATACAAAACTTAGCTGGGCATGGTGGCAGGCACCTGTAATCCCATCTACTTGGGAGGCTGAGGCTGGAGAATCACTTGAGCCCAGGAGGCGGAGTTTGCTGTGAGTGGAGATGGAGCCACTGCACTCCAGCCTGGGGAACAGCTCAGTCTCAAAAATCAAATCAAATCAAATAAAGTTAAACTATAAATTCTTCCCATAGTTAGCTTACCTATGCCCAGGAGTGAATAACGACAGCTTGTGAGGTTGGAAGCAAGACGGAGTCAGCTATGTCAGATTTCTTTCACAGTCATAATTTTTGCAAAGGTGGTTTCATCCGTGCAGTCCTTCCATTGTCCCCTGCCTGGACACTCAAACCCACAGCACACTCCTTGCTCTTATTCTTACCCATCCTTTCTCTACAATTCCAGATCTGCCCACACAGTGGCTGACTCGCCATCTCTACCTGGACATACACAGGCCCTGGGACTCAGTTGGTCCCAGACCTACTGGTCATCTCCTCCCTCCCTCCTGCAGCTCTTTGTCTGGTTTCCTGACCCAGGATCCCCCCAGCGACCAACTAGAACCTGGGAACCAGCCTTCCTCCTCCTTCTCATGCTCCTGGACCTATGATCAGTCAGTAAATCCTGTCGGCTCCACCCCCAGGATCTAGCAAATCCTTGCCTTTCTCTGCTCCTTTCCTGGGTTACGCCTTCCTTGCAGCAACACCCCTGGATCTGGTCCAGTTACCTTCAGTCCAGCCTCCGCCAAAGCTGCCAGGGGACATTTCATTTCCCCAAACAACTCATTTCTGACCAGGAAGCTCCCTGGCCTAAGAGCTTCTCGGTCACCTTCAGATAGAGTAAACTTACGAGAAGAGACTTTCTTTCTTTTTCTTTTCTTCCTTTTTTTCATTCTCTCTCTCTCTCTCTCTCTTTCTTTCTTCTTTCCTCTTTTTTTTTTTGAGAGACAGTCTCAGTCTGTCATCTGGACTGGAGTTCTAAGGCATGACCTCAGCTCACTGCCACCTCCTCTTCCTGGGTTCAAGAAATTCTCGTGCCCGGCGTGGTGGCTCACGCCTGTAATCCCACCACTTTGGGAGGCTGAGGCAGGTGGATCACGAGGTCAAGAGATCGAGACCATCCTGGTCAACATGGTGAAACCCCATCTCTACTAAAACTACAAAAAATTAGCTGGGCATGGTGGCACGTGCCTGTAATCCCAGCTACTCAGGAGGCTGAGGCAGGAGAATTGCCTGAACCCAGGAGGCGGAGGTTGTGGTGAGCCGAGATGGCGCCATTGCACTCCAGCCTGGGTAACAAGAGCGAAACGCCGTCTCAACACTTTAAAAAAAAAAAAAAAAAAGAAATTCTCGTGCCTCAGCCTCCTGAGTAGCTGGAATTACAGGCACCTGCCGCCACGCCCAGCTAATTTATGTATTTTTAGTAGAGATGGGGTTTTGCCATGTTTGTCAGGCTGGTCTCCAACTCCTGACCTCAAGTGATCTGCCCACCTCAGCCTGCCAAAGTGCTGGAATTACAGGCGTGAGCTACTGGGTCTGGCTGAGAAGAAGCTTTTTTTTTTTTTTTTTTTTTTTTTTTTTTTTTTTTTTTTTT